CGGCTAAAACATGGAAGCGAAAACAAAAACGAACGATATATGGGGTGCGAGGGTTGTGGGAAAAAAGGGCCCTTAAAAGGAACCCTGGGTGTTCCGAAGGTGCAGGAGATGCAAACCTTTCTTCGCCCCCGTTTTGTTGCCCCTCCATGAAGCCAAGCCCGAGGAGGATGGAGGAGTGAGCAATGAAGAGGGCGGGTGATGGAGGCGCCTGTACAATAGCCTTGTGGACTGGGCATCGTTCGAGTTCTGGCGGGGGGCGTGGGTTGGGATAGAGGAGACGGGTGAAAAAGGGGGCGATGAGAGGGAGAAGGAGGTTGAACATGAAAAATATCAGAATCAGCAGGGGGGCTGCGTACGTGGGGAATGGGAGGAAAAAAACAGGAAGGACAAATGAGATTGTATGAACGTCCTGGGGTTGATTATAACACAACACTGTATAATCGAATGTAGTATGGTATAGGTTTGACCATGCAATACAATATGACATAATTTCATGTGGTATAATTGTTGTTTATATTTTATAATGTATTGCGATATGCCAACATTATGCAATATAATTATTATTATTATATATACATATCTATACCACTGCATCATATAATATTAGAATTTCTAGATTATCATATATTATATTATAGTACAATATACCATACTATAACACTAGTACACTATACTATATTACAATCGAATACGGGACAATACACTCGTATAGTGTAGGAGGAGGAGGAGGAGGTGAATGACGAGGAGGACGAGGTGGATTTGGGAGGGTGAACCAAAGAGCAAGTCTGGATAACAAGAGGGGATATTGAAGGTAATGCGAAACCATCTGAGAATGAGCAGGGGGACGGCGACGAGCGCAGGATGGAAACGAACGAGAGCGAGCAGACGTGAAGATGTCCCACTCTTCGGGCGCACGCCCGCCAGGAATGAGGGCATGACGAGGCAGACCGGGCTCCAGGCCGTGCTCTCGGAGAGGCCCGCGGGTGGGGGTGGATCGAACACCCTTTGGTTAGCGGCCGCAAGAGGGTAAGACGGCGGTCGAGGGCCACGACGACGACAACGCTGCCGCCGCCGCCGCCGCGACTGACGACGACGACAACGACGACGACGTTGACGACGACGACGACGACGACGACGACGACGACGACGACGACGACGACGACGACGACGAGACGGGACGTGTCCTCCGCACGGCCAGCGGCGCCGCCCCCTCCCCTCCGAGGCCTCCCACAGGCGGCCCTCCCGCCGACGCGCAGGCGTGCCAGAGCCTGCCGCCGAGGGGAGGGGGCGCGCCGGGGCAACAGTGGGGCACGACTGGCGGAGGGCGCGATGGCGCGATGCGGCCGGAGGAGGAGGAGGAGGAGGAGGAGGAGGAGGAGGAGGAGGAGGAGGAGGAGGAGGAGGAGGAGGGGAGGAGGAGGAGGAGGAGGAGGGGGAGGGGGAGGGGGGGGGGAGGGGGGGGGGGGAGGGGGAGGGGGAGGGGCAGGGAGCGTGCACTGTCGGGCGTCGCGTAATGGGGATAAGCAGGATGAGCAGCATAGGACGTCCAAGGTTCTATGAACCCAATGAAACCTTAAATGGCCAGCGGGGTGGCAGCTGCGCCTTTGCCACCCCTACCCGAGGAGAAATCTCCCAAGGAACAAGAAAGGCCCAAAAACGTGGGAGCCCCGCGCCGCGGGGCCACCAGCGGGCCCCAGCACCCCCCATTAATAGGGCAGGCCAGAACCGCTCGACCCCAGGGCGGTTCGGGCCGCACTGGAAGCGCTGTGCGGCGCACCGTCCTGGGGGCCCCCCGCGCGACAGCAGTCTGGCCCCCTCTCCCCTGCGCCCCTCGCGCTCTCCGAGCAGGCGAGGGCGCTTTCGCGCCTCGAAGACAGGCGTGCGAGGCCCGCCTCCGAGCGCCTGCAGCAGCCGCGCCCTCGGATCAGGCGACAGGTGCCGCCGCGGAGGCCGCCGCCTGTGACGAGCGCTGGCGCCTGCTCGGGCGGCGCTCGCGGCGTCGCAGGCCCGGGAGCCTGCGCAGGCCCGCCCCCCGAGGGGACCCCAGGAGGGGGAGGGGACAACAGGTAGGACGAGCCACAGAGACCCGGAGCCAGAGCCCGCCCCAGCCAGTGCCCCCCCTCCTCCCAGGGGGGGGACCCCCATGGGCGCCTGGGCGCCCAAGCCCCAAGACCGCGGCCTCGCGAGTAAAAGACCGGAGGGGTGCAGCGCGAACTTTGCATGAGAGGCCTCGTGAGGAAGGGGCGAGAGGAGAGGATGATAATGAGTGATAAGGTGCGTTCGCTCCGTACCCCTCCCACCCAACCCTTCTCATCGCGCTTTTCTGTTCTCTGTCTGCGGACGCATGTCATAGCGACCCTGGAACTACCAAAAGGTTGTTTGATTGCGTCATGCCCCAATCGAAAAGCCGAACCCGCGGAAAAAGGACGCGAAGAAAGGAGAGAACAGGAGTTGGATGAGGAGGAGGAAATGGAGGAGGGGGACGATGCGGAGTGTGGGAGTTGGTGAGGCCGAAATGCAGGATGTTGACGTGGGGGACAGAAGAGGAGGAGGAGGAGGAGGAGGAGGAGGATCAGTACAAATTAAAGACACATCAGCGATGTTGAAATACACCATTCCATGCTCCCTCTTCATAGGTCCCTACACTAGTTGTTTGTCCATTGTGGGAAGTGCTGTTCGATAAACAGCAGCGTGAGAACCTCAATCTTTCTAACACACCATTCCTGGGACATCAACGCCGCGAGTCAACGCGGCTGTTGCGTTTTGACAACCCTGACGGATCACTGGATTGGGTGTTATTATACATATTTTCAGACGGGCGCACGCGGCGCTAAGGCGAGCACCACATGTTACGGACAACCCGCCCTCCATCCTTGAAATGGACGCACTCCTTTGATGACGAATGTGCGTGGTGCTCGGGCGAGAGCCGCCTGTTCAAACCACCCGCCCTTCATCCTTGAAGCTGTTGCAAGTGTCGAGCTTCAGGGCCATACGTTGCAAGGAAAATGCATGCGACACGTCCAGCCCGCCATGCCGACTCGCCCGGGAGTTCGACAGGGAAGTGTTTTTTTCACAAGGATTCAGGGTCAAGGAGGAGGAGGGTGCAGGAAGAAGAAGAAGAAGAAGAAGACGACGAGGAGGAGGAGGAGGAACAGGTGGAGGAGATTGGGGGAGGAGCTGAAGAGAGATGGGTGGGACAGGAGCAACTTCACAAACAGCCACATGCATAGTGATGGTAGTTGGACGAAGATGGGCGAAGAAAGGAGGGGGAGGAATGTTGGGGATCGGCCCATAACAAGAACGTGCGGGAGGGAGGCATAGGTGAGCAACCCAATCGCTGGCGCAAGCCCTCGCGTCCCTCCTCCTTCTACCTCCGCTCTTCCATCTCCCTTGCTCCCTCGCCCACTTGTGCAAGCTATGCGACGAAACAGACTCCCTCGTTAAATTGGTGCCCTTTTTCGTCGCTCCTCTCTCCTCCTTTGGTCGGTATCATTCTTCACACCTCGCTTGTTCTGATCACCGCTGCGAGGCCAGACTTGTTCACCTTCAAAACCACCGACAGGGGGCACCAGCTGATCTGCCTGAACAACGGGACCCTGGCCTCCTCATCGTCCTCCCCCTTCCTCCCCTTGCCAATCTGCCTCGTGGCACAGCAACTTGCCCATTATGATTGAGCGCTTGGCTGGCGCAATGGGACGTCGTGCCAGGTTTGTTCATTCTCGCTGGCCCGCTTTACCGTCTTGCAGCTGGCAGGTAGTAGATGAATGGACTACCGATGTTGCTGCTACCTGCTCCTGTTTCCAGTTTCCCCCTCCTGCTGTTTGTCCTCCTCCCATTCCCCCCCCCCCTGCTCTGTTCCTTCGCACCAAGTTCCCGCTTCCTCCTCCCGCCCACCTCTTCCCTCCCCTCCTCCGCCCCCCTATTCTCCCCTTATCCCTCTCACCTCCGCCCCTCCCCGCATGTCGGACCAATCCCAACCGACTGGGACCAATTGCAACCGACTGGGACACTTCTCAACCGGCCCAAAAAACCAACTGGTACCAATTACAACCAGCCATTTCGGGCCTACAGGCACATTTTTTGGTATAAGACGATCCAGATATCAAGTGAACGTATTAAGGGTACACATTCATTCTTGGAGTCAGCATGGGTGCCCCGGTTCGAATTGGTGCCAGTTATTTTTTTTGTGGTTTGGGAGTTGTGTTGTTTCGCAACAATAACTCACAACTGCACATATAACCTCAACAGTGATACTGGGGAAAAGCTCCAATCAAAGTCTTTTTAGGCCTATAGGGCTAAAGGGCGATGGGTCTATGGGGCTATAGGGCAATGGAGTTATAGAGTTATAGGGGTCTAGGGCTATAGGGCTATAAGGCTATACGGCTATAGGGCTATAGGGCTATCGGAGGTTGAGGGGTGAGATCGAAGTGGAACGGAGAGCCCCCTTACACGGAAATCGATTTAGGTTTCGTGTTCGTGCGAGCCGTGCGTGCGGGCGAGGCGAAGCTGCGTGGGCGGGCGAGAGGAAAGTCTCCTGTGGCTGAGGCGCGGCCGGACCAAATATTTGGCGACCCGGCGTTCGGGGCCGCGCGGTGTCCCGCCGCTGTCCCGCCGGCGTCCCGTCGGTGTCCTGCGGTGTCCCGTCGGTGTCCCGTCGTGAGATCGATAGTGAGATTAATCGTGAGGTCGATGGTGAGATCGATAGTGAGATCGATAGTGAGATCGGTTGTGAGATCGATAGTGAGATCGATAGTGATATCGATTGTGAGATCGATAGTGAGATCGATAGTGAGATCGATAGTGATATCGATAGTGAGAGCGATAGTGAGATCGATAGCTGAGCGACGAGCAGGGCCTCAGGAGGCCTCAAACAAAAATAACGTCGTCGTCGTTCGCCGCCGTTGGGCAGGTTCCCGGGGGAAAGGATGATACCAATGCGCCCAATAGCGAAGGGTGACGTAAACAACTCGACACCAAAGCTTCCAAGAGCGAGCGGCAACGCAACAATCTCCACTGGCATCGTCAGAACAACAATCACCACTGTTGCCCATTGCTGGGCCCCTCCCCCCCAAACCTCCTTATCACCCGCAGGGTGGTCGTATAGGTAGGGTTATTGGGTTATGGGGCTATAGGGCTATAAGGCTATCGGGCTTTAGGGCTACAGGGCTATAAGGCACCCGGGCACCCAGGCACCCGGGCGTGCCGCGGAAATCGGGTACCTCACCTAACCATGTGAATATGCTAGGACCCCTATTTGGGGAACACCGAACATCCATCCACAACAACATACATTCACAACACGTACCCACACACCTCCCACAACAACGAATTTCGAAAGGCCGACTTATCACCCTCATTGTCTTCGCCCGTTATTTGCGTCCTCCTTTCCTGCCTTTTCTTTCCTCCTCCTCTGCTTCCTTCTGCTCATCCTCATCTCCCTCGTGCCGCATTCCTTATCTTCCTCCTCTGTTTCCCCTTCCTGCTTCTCTCTTATTCCTCCTCCCCCTCGGTTTTTCTTCCTCTTCCTTTTCCTCCTTGTCCGCCTCCTCCTCTTCCTCTCCCTCCTCCTCGTCTTCCTCCTCCTCCTCCTCCTGGCGGGGGGCAGGGCGACTCTTTCGGCCACCCTCTCCTTCCCCGTGGGTTCGGGGGTCGCCCGAACCCCCGAGGCCACGAAACGCTTCCATCGGAAGCGTCGCCTCGTCGGCAGTCATGGGGAACTCATCGGGCTTCCCCAGGGAATTTCCTAGATTGCTTGGGATCCTTGAAGGATCCCCCCAGAATTGCCAAGAACCCTTCAGGAAACTTCGGGAAGTCTGCAGAATCCTCAGGCGCCCTCAGGAATCCGATAGGGATCCCACGCACATCCCTCGGGAACCCAGAAGAAACCCCAGGAATCCACAGGACACCTGAAGAATCCGCAGGACACCTAAGGAGTTCGCAGGATTCCAAAGGAATCCAACGGAGTCCAAAGGAAACCTCAGGAACCCACAGGCATCCTTGAAGAATCGTTCATGAGTTCCCCAGGTTTTTCTGCGGAGCCTCCGGGGACCCCCAGGAATCTAGAGGACACTGAAGGTGTCCTTAGGAATCCTTCGGAATCCAAAGGAACCAGGAGGACTCCTTCATGAATCACGCAGGAATCCCACAGGAATCCTTGAGCAATCCTTTCAGAAACCTCCAGGAATATTTCAGGAACCCTTGGGAGACCCAGAGAAGCTTGAAGAATCGTTGGAGGATCCTTCATGTATTCTTCAAGAATCCCCAGGTTTTGTCCGAAATCCGTCGGAGATCCTGTAGGAATTCTCCAGCAATCCTCTAAGGAGCCTCTGAGGCGCTTCCAAAAACGTTTAAGGCACCTCTAAAGGCCACTAAGGAGCCTTTAAGGCAACCTCGAAGGAAACCCCTAAAGAGCATCGAAGGAGCCTCTGCGGAAACTTCCCAGGAGCTTCTAAGGAGCCCCTATGGAGCCTCTAAGGAGCCTCTAAGGAGCTTTCAAGGGCCTCTGGGGTGCCACTAACGAGCCTCCTAAGGAGCCTCTAAGGAACTAAGGAGCCTCTGCGTAGCCTCTAAGGTGCTTCCAAGGATTCTAATGAGCCTCGAAGGATCTTCGAAGGAGCCTCTAAGGCGAATCTAAGGACGCCTCTAAGGAGCCGTTTTTTTGAAGCCTCCAAGGAACTCCTGAAGAAGCTTGACGGAATCCCTTGCGGAGTTGCTAAGGAACTTTCTCAAGCGTTGGTAAGGACACCTCTGTGGCGCCCCCAAAGAAGCCGTTAAGGCGCCCCCAGGGAAACCTCTACGGACACCGCTAATGAACCTCTAAGGAAACCTTTGAGGAGCCCCGAAGGAGCCTCTAAGGACACCTCTAAGGAGCCTCTACGGGAGCCTCTAAGGAGCCTAGTCTCTACGGAAGCCTCTAAGTGAAAGAGCTTCTAAGGAAACCCTTAAAGAGCCCCGAAACAAGCCCCTAAGGAGCCTCTAGAGAAACGTTTCAGGAACTGCTAAGGAGCCCCCCCCAGAGCTTTCGAGGATTTTCTAAAGCGCTTCTACGGAGATTCTAAGGGGCTTCTAAGAGCCTGTAAGGAACATCAACGGTTCTTCAAGGAAGTCGCTAAGACGCCTTTTAGCAAGCCTATACGGAGCCTCTAAGGAGCTTCTAAGGAGCCTCTGAGGAGCCTCGGGCCATCCTCTAAGGAGCCTCTAGTGAGCCTCTAAGAAGTCTCTAAGTACCTTCTAAGGGGCCCCGAAGGAAGCTTCTAAGGAGCCTCTAAGGAAGCATCCAAGGAGTTTCTCAGGAGCCTCTAAGTAGCTTCTGAGGAAGCCTCTAAGGAGCCTCTTAGAGAAACGTTTCAGGAGCTGCTAAGGAGCCCCCCTGAGCTTTCGAGGAGCTTCTAAAACGCTTTTGCGGAAATTATAAGGAGCTGCTACGAGCTTGTAAGGAACATCTACGGATCTTGTAAAGGAAGTCGCTAAGACGCCTTTCAAAAAGCCTATAAGGAGCCTCTAAGGAGCATCTAAGGAGCCTCTGAGGAGCCTCGGGCCATCCTCTAAGGAACCTCGAGTGAGCCTCTAAGAAGTCTCTAAGTAGCCTCTAGAGAGCTTGGAAGGAAGCCTCTAAGGAGCCTGTAAGGAAGCATCCAAGGAGTCCCTCAGGAGCCTCTTAAGAAAACCCATAAGGGAGCCCCAAAGGAAACCTTTAAGGTGTCTCTAAGGAAATGCAAGGAGCCTCTAAGGAAACCTGTAAGGAACCTCCTAGGAAAACCTCTAAGGAGTTTTTGCGATGTCTCTAAAGAGCTTCTCAGGACCCTCAGAGGAAACCTGCATAAGGAACCCCCGGGGAGCCTCGATAAGGAACCCCGAAGAAACTTCCAAACAATTTTAAAAACAGTTTAAACGTGGTCGTGATTGGTCCCAGTTGTTTGGGGTTCGGACCGGCACTGTTGGAGTCCGTCTGAGTTGGTTGTAACTCGTCCTATGTTCGCCCATCCCTCCTGTCCAGTGCCGCCCGTCTCCCTCCTCCACCCTGCGTGTTCCTCGTGTCTCCTCTTCGCCTCCCCGTCCGAGTCCTCCTCAGTCCCGCCCTCAGAGGAGGATGAAAAGGAGGAGGAGGAGGAGGAGGAGGAGGAGGAGGGTGGGAAAGGAGGCGGTGACGTAGAAAGGAGGCGGTGACGTTGAACGGCGACGAGGGGGAGGTGACTGGGGGTGAAAGGGAAGGAGGAGGAAGAGGAGGAACACGAGGGAGAGGAGGATGACGAGGAGGAGGCGGAGGAGGCGGAGGAGGAGGGGGGGAACGGAGGGGGGATGTGCCTTCCTTGCACTCCCCCGCCCCGATCGCCCACCACCCCAGCAGCAGCAGCAGCAATGGCAGTAGTAGCAGCAGTAGTAGTAGTAGTAGTAGTAGTAGTAGTAGTCGACGTCGTCGTCGTAGTCCTCGTAGTAGTCGTAGAAGCAGCAGTAGTAGCAGCAGAAGTAGTAGTAGCAGTAGTAGAAGTAGTAGCAGTAGTAGTAGTAGTCGCAGCCGTAGTAGTAGTAGTAGTAGTAGTAGTAGTAGTAGTAGCAGCAGTAGTAGTAGTAGTAGTCGTAGTAGTAGTCGTAGTAGCAG